GTCTGAGGACACACGTTTATACGGTGTGAACAGGTCTGCCAGGTTTAAGAGCAGCTGTGTGGCACTGTAGAATGTATAAGTGGAAATAAGGACACACAACACACATTCAGAAGAGATTGTAGTCTGTACTATCAGACTAGCCCTGGAAGCACCATCAAGAACTGTATGTTTCTGACAAACCCAGTCAGAGATTCTAGAACTGGATTCCACTTCCAGAGTCTAGAACAACAGTACATCAGAGTCTAATAAACCTTAATGGTGATTTTTCTTTTCAACTTTGTGGGAAAGTGTGAATTAATTGTGTTTTCACATCTGGTTCATTATCTGGGAAAAAGTGAATATTTAGCATATACCTCATACAAAAATAAATTCCAGATACTTAAATGGGAAAAATAAAACCATGGAACTCCCCCAGCATGCTCCTAAAAACTACACATAAACTCCAGGGTGGGAAAACTGTCCACACATGGGCAGTCCAAGCTCTTTTTTGACCACTTAAAACTTAAAAACTTTTAGATTACAAAGAGAACCATTTTGGGAAGAAAAGAAGCCAATAAACAATGAACGCAACTTGAAGACCTAGCTGGGAACTCAAAGAACTCCAGATTCAGATAGCCAGAGGTGGGGAGTGAGAAAGGACCTAGCTAGGCCGATCCAGATGGTCAGCATGTGCAGACTCACTGGTACACAGGGAAATGTAAAAATTTTAGAGTAAGAGTTAATATCTTGATTTTTTCAGACAAGAGAATAATAAACGTGGAGTGTAACCCCTGCCTGTAGGAAAGCTGGTGAAAGGTCACTCTTGCTCTCTGCAAAGGGAGATATAAAAGGTTGGAACTCTTTCTAGAATGCAAGCTGCCAACATCTGATAAAATTAAAACTACATGTTTCCTTCTATACCCAGCAGCTCTTCCTCCTATGGAATGAAAGCAAGGCATATATGGGACCATATAATAAACGCTTGTTACATGTTTGTGGTAACAATAAAAAAAGAAGCTGGAATCAAAATGGTTGCGTGCCGGTGGATTAATAACTCAAAAGTATGGCACTTTCCTGCTGTGAGTTATTATGTAAACACCACAGAGCCCTAAAAAGACTGCACTGGTGTTAAATCCAAGGAGCTTGCGGGACTTTCCGCGATGTATTGTTTAGCAAGAAAATTATGATGAAGATAAATGTGTGTAATGTCTCCCTTTTGTTTAAAAAAAAAGTGTCCCTAACCAGGCTGCTTAGGTGAGCGCAGTATGCTTTAAGTAGGGTAAAAGTCTGGTAGAGCTTGCTGAATTGTCTGCCAGTAATGAAGGGTGGAGAGGGCTTGAAGTGGATTGAAGAGATCCAACTAAGAGAGGCAAAGAGAAAGCTAGCAGTTTGTGCTGGCATCTGCATGATGCGTGTACCGATTCGGAACAATGGGGGTGAAAGATGAACCCGAAATACATGCGAGTGGCTGAGACAGTCCTTGGCCTTGCCTTTTGCTAGCCGTGAAACAAGCAGCTTCTCTTGCAGCAGTTCTTAGTCTCCTTGTAGCCTGTTGAAATTGCAGGACGGCCTTCCACCAGGCCTGGGCCAAAGCCCTGGCCTCGCTCACCTGTCTGAACCCAGCAGCCTTGGGGAAGGTGTGCATTGCTGGTCAAACTCTGTCTCCAGGTAACTGGAGTGGGTTTGATTGTCTCAGAGTGGCTTGTTGGATTCCACGCCTGCAGCGCTGGCTGGGTTTGTGGATATAGATTCCATCAAAACAGAGGATACATTACGGGCCAGTCTCTTTGAACTTGCCAGAACCAAGTGAGAGAGTGACCACCCCCATGCCCCAGACTAAAACAGCACATTCCTTCCAAACCCATCTTCAGCATCTGGCTTTATTCTGCAGCACAGAAACACAGGCACCGCTGACTCCTGAGGAGAACGTGCCAAAGTTGGCACCTCAGAGGCTCTATCTACCCAAGACTTAGTGCCCCAGAGTGTCTCTGTGGTCTCCTTTAGTCTTTGTACTGTGTCCTCAGCCAGCCACATCCTTTGCATGCTACAGGTTTCCCCAAGACATGTTGTCAATGCCTGAGGATTTTAGAAAGGTGGTCTTCTCAAAGGCGGCACCAGGAGTACCTTCTCCACATCCAGCATCGTCTTGGCAAATCCTACGGTCCTGTGCCCTGCAAGTCCACACTCTGGTGCCCAGGGCCCTTTCCTCACAGTGGTGCCGTGACATCTGGCTGAGCACCTTCACTGAACCCCCACTCTTCACACCGTTGCATCCCTGTCACCCTCTGCAGTAGACACAGGGTCTCAGAAAGTCCCCAGCCTTTCTTCCCCTCTGAAGAAGTATCTAGATTCTCCGTGCTCCTCCCATTGTCTGCCCCCGTCTCCTTTTGACCACTGAATGGATAAATGAAGTAGATGTGCCTCCTAAGCCATGAGGAGAGAATCAGGAGGAAAAGTGGTACAACTCACGCAGCCAGCACTGACAGAAAACATGCCACTTCCTGGAGTTAAGCGTAGTGTGAGCTCCATCACTGCTGGCTCTACACAGGAGGGCAGCTGTTCACCACTGAGTTCTTAGTTCATCAGGAATTTATGTTTTCAGTGTTCCATGGGTTCATTTACATGGATTAAATTTTTTTAATTATTTTTTAATTTTTTTAGCTTCTTTTGTTTTGTTTGGAGGATATGTGGGAGCTGTGAGTCATGGAGTTTCGGGTTTGGACTTGACTAGAAGTTAAGTCATCATTCACAGGGCCGAAACACTGGCACAGTGTGTAGCTGAAGAGCTGCATTTAACAGCCTATTGTCTCCACACAGATCTTCACCGCGTTGCCGCCCTTCACTCTGGGAATCTTCGAGAGGTCTTGTACTCAGGAGAGCATGCTGAGGTTTCCACAGCTCTACAAAATCACCCAGAATGCAGAAGGCTTCAACACTAAGGTACACGATGTCATGAAACGGCTACCACCTGTGAGAGGCACTGCTTCCCTTTCAGCCCCGATTACGGTTCGGTGAGATAAGGGGTCCTTGACAGAGGGCATTGACATAGCCCCTTCATATCCAGCCCTGTGATCCACAGACAGTTCCCCTAGATCCAGCCAGCGTCTCCATCCTTCCACTCACAGCTCTGGTATTCTGTGGGCAGCATCATCTCATGCTTCTGTCCATTATAATCGGTCATATACTTTCATGCAGGCCTTGTTAAGGCTGCCTACAGCCTAGTTTGCTGGTTTTAACTTCATGTGTGAGTATATGCATGCACGTGTGTGTGGGGGTGCACACAGATACAGGTGCATGCAGGGGCCAGAGGAGAAGATTGGGTGTCTCCATCTGTCATTCTTCACCTTATTTTTCAAGACAGGATCCTTCACAGAGCCTGAAACTCTATTTTTGGTAGGCCTCCTGTCCACAGAGCTCTCATCTGCCTGGCTCTACCCCACCCAGTGCCAGGCTGATAAGGCATGCATGGCCAATTCTGACTTTTACATGTACTGGGCATTCAAACTAAGGTCCGTCTGTTTTCTTGGGATGCCTAGAACTTAGCGTTGCATATCTCAGAGGCTTTTTCAGGGAAAGGGTAGAATTTGGAATACTTGCATCATCTATTGTGTCTTGAAGATGGGATCAATTCTAAATGCTCAACAAGTGCTCAACAAGTTTTGGGTTTGAAGTGTTCGGGATTTGATGCTCTCAGATTAGAGATGAGAGATCTTCAACCGGAACAGATTATTCTGGGGAGACCCAGGAATATCAAATTGAACCTATCACACACATGCTAATAGTGACAGTGCCATTGGCGGCTGCTGCCTGAAGGGAAGCCATGGGTCTCCCGTGTAGAGGAGGTAGAGCATGAGCATGGCAGCATGACCATGGTGTGGCATGGGAGGGGACTGCAAGGATATAGTGGAACACCTCTTCGGGATGTTCCCAAGCGGATGTTGCTGAGGGTCGACTGTCATGGCTGCCTTATCCTTGGACAAGTTTAAAAGGCACATACAAGAAAAGGAGAAAAGAAGAGGCATCCTATTGGCTCCGCTATTTTCCTTACGTGGTGACTAATTTATCGGCCACTGCTTACTGAGTCTATTAGTGGGGAGTTAAAACCCCCTTCTCCACACTGCTTTGCTTTCACAAGTCAAGTCTTTTCTCTAGAGTTTGAATCTTTAGGGGTGGCATGTATGTAAAAAATGAACCCACGCTAAAAGCAGAAGAACTGGGTAGGCCTCGGTCTCATGCAGGCACCTATCAGGGTTATTGACTTTGGGCTTTTTTAATGGAGAGGTCAGGAAAAGGCAGGGGATGGGGGAGTGAACCCATAAGGGCTGAGCTCATGGAGCCATGGTACAGCATTTCCCAGCTCACATGAGGCCTGGATCTGACACCAGCATCACAGTAAAATGACACCTAAATAAAACTGGGGATAAATCCGGTTTCCTTATAATGTAATGTCTCTGGCTGTTTCCTGCTCCTAACTGGTGTTTAAGCACCTACATGACATTCTGTAGCAGCCTGTAGACCACTGAGCAAGTGTCACCTGGACTTAAAAGCATCATCTCAGGAGTTAAACAGACTACCAAAAGGGGTTGGATTGGGGCTTAGTAATACGGCACACGTATGGCCTGGCTTCAAAAAGTAACTTTCAAAAAAGGTTAAAAGGCTCATGGCACTATCATCCTGAGTAAGCAGAGCTCTGTGATCTTTTGTTTAGTATTGCAAACATTAAAAGAGAAATTTCACATTGTGATTGATTAGTTGATTGATTGGCTGGTTGATTTTGTATATGGGGTGGTGGCATGTCATGTTGCTGTGGGTGTGCGGATGTCAGAGGACAACTCTTAGCAGTCACTTGTTTCCTTCCACCATGTGAGTCCTGGGGATTGAACTTGAGTCCTCAGACTTAGTGTCAAGCACCTTCACTCACTGAGTCATCTTGCCAGACCCCAAAGAGAATTTTTTAGTTAGTGGTCTCCAAGATGATGTTTTTAAAAATGGATGAAAAGTATTTTAAGCTGTTAAGGAGGAAAAAAATGGAAATTTATACATAAAATGAGTTTTAATATTTTCAAAATGAATAAAAGTTTAGTTTTTTAACCATCCAATTGTAAGCTCCACCCCTTTTCTGGGTGATGACGAAGTGTCTGCTTACAATGGGGAATGCTCACGCATTGAAGTTCAGTTTTCAGGTGTGGCTGGACTGTGTGTCGTCTCCATGCAGGTTTTGTACTAAAGTAATACTATCTGGAGACATTCTGCCATCCACACGTAAATAGGAGGAAGCAGTTTTTGTTTTGTTTTCTGTCAGTATTTTTTTTTTTGAGACTAACAACGTCCCTTGCTGAAGTGCCCAGCCCACACCAGGAGCCTTCACAGCGCCCCTCCATCTGTTGCAAATCCCACACAGAGATGCGAGTTTATAACGCTCTGATCCCCTGGTTTGTCTTCCTGCAGGTTTTCTGGGGTCACTGTATCAATGCCTTGGTCCACTCCCTCATCCTCTTCTGGCTTCCCATGAAAGTGCTGGAACACGGTAGGTAATACTTTCGCGATTTCTACCGCCAGCCAGGAACTTCACCTCCTGTGAGTCGAATGTGTGTACCAAGTTCCCAGTCATGCACACATGAGATTAAAGTCAGGGAGCACAGGCAGGCCACCCAGCAGGAGCTGGTTCCAAGTCTGTAGCACGACTCCACACTCAGTTTGTGACAACTTGAGTTTGAGGGAATAGTTATGTCCCGTCCCCATGAATTTAAAATCCTCTGTTACTTACTTAAGCTTTCTGCTTCAAAGCCCTGGTATCTGTATGCACAGACACTCAGGTCTTATAAATTTAATCCCATCCCATGTTTTCTGAGAGCATTTTCCCTGACACACACCTCTGAAGTCAAGGATGATTCTCCAAGTTGGCTTTAGTCCCTCTGCCCAGGGGTAGCCTTTGCTAGTTCACACTTCTTGATGAAAACATACCATAAAAATGCCAACCCCTCTCAAATAATCATAAACTCCCTGGGAAACGTAATTGCTGATGTGGGCTACACAGGGTACCGGATTTTCTGAAGGACTTAGGAATAGAAGGCTTGCTAGCTGTTCCTGTCAGTGTGATCCGTGTTCCACACAGGAATGGCTCAACACACTTATGCTGTCTAACGTATTCCGTGTCGCCAGAAGGTGCACAGACAGCTGGTTATGTTCTGTGTGCTTTTCTTCCAGACACATCACAGCTCCTTTCCTTTAGAAGGCCCTTAAGTACTTAGGTCAGAAAACAAAATTGTCTGCTTCTAGATTCCCCACCCGACCGCAAAAAAAAAAAAAAAAAAAGAGCATCCTAGCAAAATAGGTTTCTTTGGACTCTAAAGCCCTTTTCGGCTCATCTTTATTCAAAGTGGATTCAGTTTTTGGTGGTTCTTTAAGTAAGAGTTTATGAGCAGAAGAGCCTGGGGTGGGGTTTTGTTTCTGAAGCCCTGGCATGGTGGTGGTAGGAGTGGGCACCCTCGTTGCAGGATGGACAAGTGTCACGCTTTAGAGCATAAGAGCACGTGGCAGCTGGTGTTTGTAAGGCGGGCTTGTGCCCATGTAGAGACGGCCCTGGAGGAGTTTGCCTTCCAGCTTGCAGTTTCAGATGGCCCTTTATGCACTACAGGGTGGCTCTCTGATGCTTGAGCTTGTGGCCTGCGGGTGGTGGTGGCATTGCTACCGTTTGCCCAGATTCCATCACTCCCCGAAGGAGGCCTGTGATTAAAAGTCACCACGCACACACTTCTAGCAGATGCCTCCTGGTGAGTTTAAAGTTAGGTTCTGCCTCCCTATCTATTCCTCCCAGTTCTATCGTTTGCCTGGCAGATAAATAATAGGATGCTGTGAGTTTTGCATTTATTGTCACTGTCATCATCAGTGTCATTTGAAAAAATTTCTAGCATAAGAGTATTAATAGAGTTGCAAATAACCTATAAAGTCACAGTGCTGGAGGGAACTAAATGACAGATGTTAGGTATATCGGCATAGGGGCCATGTTTGTTCTCCCTGATCTAATTTCTCTAACAAAGTAAATGACTATTTTGAACTCATTTGTGAAGTTTCTCACTTAGTTAGAAGCAGGAATTATTAGTACCACAGACTACATGCACTCATGTTTTCATGACACAGGAACTGTGCTAGATTTCAAGGGTGAAAGATAAACTTAGGAACAAGCAAGACGGCCCAGCAGGTAAAGGCATTTTCTGCTAAGCTTGATGACCTGAGTCCAGTCCCCTGAACCCACATGTCAGAAGGAGAAAACTAACCCCACAGTGTTTCCTCTGACGTCCACATGCTGTGGTGCACATCCCACATGCACAAAAAGAAATAATAAGTATCATTTCACAAAACAAAGGTAATGTATGTTCAAATGTAGGCTGAGTGACTTTCTTTTTAAAAGCTGATACTCTAGTGAAGGGAGTTAGATTCAAACATGGAAAATTCTATTACAAGGTAGAAAATAACTATCTCGAATAAAGTGCAGGTAGATCATCATGACTGAACACAGAGCTTGGCATAGTATTTCCTATTTCTACCTTTAAAGGAGGCCAGACTTAGATTTAGCTGTGAACCTAAGTAGCATTCAGTTATGCAGGAATGGCAGAAGATCCAAAGTGGGAAGATGGGCTATTTCCAGTTCCCTGAAGTCCCTACATGGAAATTCTACCCCAAGATGATGTAGGAGGTGGGGCCACTGGGGGGGAGGTCATGAGAGGAGAGTCCTCGTGAGCATTGTGCCCTTGAGAAAGAGACTGGGGAGTGTCCTCCAGTGTGCAAAAGGAAGAGCCCTCTGTGCGGAGGGAAGCCCCGCCACCCTCAGCAGCTGCCTTGATCTCGGACTTTGAGGAAGAAGTTTATGTTGTCACAGTCTGTGGTATCTTGCAGTTTCAGTGAACAGTGCCATCTCCCCCTCCCCACCCCAAGCCTTGTGACCCTGTAAATGAGAATGTGTCTGCACATGTCCGGCATCCTATGTGGCAGGCTGAACTTCAAGGTGACTACAGCGTAAAGGGAAGGATGGAGCCTGGATGGGGTGGCGGGGTTAAAGAGTGGGAGCAGAACTGGGGTCACCAACATGAAAGGAGACATTTTCTTATTGAAGGGTTGGAGGTAGGAGAGTTGTGTCATAAAACTTAGCCTATGACTAAGTTAAGACTGTTTTACAGAGAAACACAGGATTTGGCAAGAGGTTTAACATGTGGTGGTGGTGTGTGTACATGAGTGCCTGTGTGTTTCATTTTCTTTGGATGGATAGACGTGGTAAGATGTCAATGGTAAAAACTCAGAAAGCGATTGGATGTCCTAAATACAAGAGAGCGATTTTCCCACCCCCTTCTTTCCTCCATCCCTTCTTTCCCTTCTTCCTTTCCCTTCCCTCCTTTTCCTTCCTTCCCTTTCCTTCCTTCCCTTTCCTTCCTTTCCCTTTTCTTCTCTTCCCTTCCCCCTCCTCCCTCCCTCCCTCCTCCTTCCCTCCTTCTGTCCTTCCTTCCTCCCTCCACCTGTAACTACAGCTCCAGGGTATCTCATGCCACTGACTTGCTTGGTGATCTGCTCTCCTATATACAAAACCATATGGAATGAAACACACACACACACACACACAGAGAGAGAGAGAGAGAGAGAGAGAGAGAGAGAGAGAGAGAGAGAGAGAGAGAGAGAGAGTAATAGCAGTAATTGTAATAATAATAAATCCATGATTAAGATAATTATAATAGTAGTAATCATAATAACCTCTTTGTCTCCAAGAATGCAGGAACATGGCACCAATTTGAAACAATCCTGGGTGCCGTCTAAAGCTAAGGACCCCGTCTAGCGCAGGGTGTCTTCAGCTGCTGAAGTCATTCCTCAGCCTGACCTCTACTCACAATCCTGAAGAACCTTTGATCAGGGCTAAGGTCTCTTCGCTTCTTCATAGGCTACCACATGAATTGTGTCACAAAAACAGTGAATTTTAGTTTAAAATTCTCTCTCAACCATTGGTGGCAAAAGGCTCAGGTACACACCAGCTCTACTCATTTTTGTCAGGGCAATATGATCTAGGGAAGAAATATTGAAAAGGTATGGGCAGGTCATTCATTTTCTAGAATGTTTCCAAGAACTTTTCCTTTGCTTATTTTTGCATGGTTTTGGATAGACTTTCAAAGCAGTCTTGTTGATGGAGTTCGTGATGACTCATTACAAATTTCAAAATAAATTTTTCCTCTCAGGCAAATCAGATTTCTCTCAACTGTCCCACTGTCTCTCAAGCTCCTAGTGTGACTTACCTAAAGCCGGTCCTTTGATCTGAAACTCTCTGTAAGTTAGGATTATGGATGGCACCATCTCATGTCCCACAACCCAAGGCCTTGTTGGCCGCTCTCGGGCTTCCACTGCCATTTTCAGTCTACATAGTTGGGAAGCCTCCTTAGAGTGGAATGTGGTTGTTGGCAAAAGAACATAAAATTAATTTCGATTTGAAAAATATTTTTTCTGATTTTTCCCTGATGAAATGTATAAAGGAAGAAATGAGAAGGAGGAATTTTTTTCCCAGAAGAGAAAATTTCCATTAAAATATTTATGCCGGCTAGTTTGTTTGTTTTTGCTTTGTTTTGGTTTGGTTTGGTTTTTCAGCTTCACACAAGTGAGGGTCATCTGGGAAGAAAGAAGCTCAGCTGAGAAAATGCCTCTGTCGGGTAACCTGTAGGAAAGTCTGTTGGGTTTTTTTCTTCATTAATGATTGATATGGGAGGTTCCCCAGTCCACTGTGGGCAGTGCCATCCCTGGGCAGGTGGTCTTGACGTATAAGAAAGGGAGCTTAATGTGACCCTGAGATCAAGTCAGTAAGCAGAATTCTCTCATGGTCGCTGCTTCAGTTCTGAACCCCAGGTTCAAGTCTTGAGTTCCTGCCCTGACTTCCCCTAGTGGTGTACTGTGATCAGAGCCTGTACACCAGCGAGTCCTTTCCTCCCTCGGTTGCTGTAGGTTATGATGTTACAATAGATACCTACTCTAGTGTTGACCTCAGCTTCCCAGGGTCCACAGTGGAAATACTCATTTTTACAAAGAAAATGTAGCATGTAGATACCTAAATATTGACACTGGCTAAGAAACAGGGCTCTTCGGCATTGGAGAAGGCAGTTACGTGCCTCTTTAGCATGTCTGTTACGACCGTGAGATCGGGCCTGTAGCATATGCTGTAAAATGATGCTGTTGATGGCCCTAGGAGGTTATGACTGCCACCGTTACTGTGAACACTGATGTGACTTTGGGAAACTCTAAAGACTTGTTTCACACTAAGCTGGACTTCGGCAAGTCTGCCAGCATCCTGTGAGCTCTTAAGTTCAATTGCACTCCTTTATGAGACAAAGCAGAGGTATGGGAGCATTCTCTGAGCCAGGGGACTCCCAATGACTAGAAAGACACATAACATGTGACCCCTTCTGTACTGGAGCTCACAGCCAGGGAAGGCTTGAAGAGGGAGACCCAGGTGAGATAGAATATGTTCCAAGGAAGCCTAACCATAAGGACACACTGGGA